CTCCCTTTTCTACCTCTCTCCCATTTTCCCCGTGTATTCTGTAGCGTACATGTACACTTTTCTAGGGGGAACAATGTTTGCTGACTCATGTTTCCTGTAATACCCTGGTACTCCATTGTTCTTCCTTCTCCTCTTCCTCTCTTTCTCTCTCCTCCCCTCTCGCTCTATCTTTGCCAGCTTTATTTGCTCTCATTCAATCTATCTCCATTTAACATTCTCCAGTATATTACCTCATTTTGCTTTCAACGGCTGTAATAAGTATTTGGACAGTATTAGATAATTTATCAACTGTATGTTTCGATCATACTATATATGCTGAAAATTAGTAACACTTTACAATTTTATATTTATATTATGTCTTTCTTATGTTATTAAACTTTATTTTCCTGATCTTTGTTTGTTATGCAATTATGAGTTCAATATGTACTTATCAAGTCCATAGATATTGTATATACGTTGTTTTTATTGTGCAGGGCGCTCAGGGATAGCAGTTTGTAAACTGAAGAGGTAAGCCTGCTTTAAATAAAACGGTACAGATAATATACATATATATGGCCAATAAATCAATCACTTTGTTTTGCATACGTGTGAATCTGATCTGCGAATGACTGATTTTCATTTAGACAGTCAACCTGTCTCTTTATTTCATGATATGACGGACCGGTGGGTTGGTGAATGGCTCCAAACATACCGGTCATTCACGGTTTGTGTTAATGTTAATTTCAATTTTATTTTCAAGCTTTTGTAAATGTGTAGGGTCATCGGAAGCATAATCTTATAATCTTGTAGTTAACATGTACATGCAGCACCTACATCCAATATAATATAACAATAAACAGGATGCCACTATATTTTTACAAACACGCTATACACATGATATCCATTTAAATACATTTATGTTACACTGTCTAATGATATGTGATTGTCCAAGGGGGTTATTTTCAGGGTGGGGTAATTGTCCCGTTGGTAATTTGCCAGGGGAAGGGAGGTGGGTGATTGTCCAGGGGGTAATTGTCCTAGAACCCTTGTATTCATGTAGCAATCGATATACTTAGTAGGTAACTTACATGCAATGCAATCACACTGAGTGACTTCTCTGACTTGGTAGGAATGCGATGTCTTATTCTACCGTCTGACTTTGTCCCACAGCCAAGAAGCCTGCAACATATAAATGAAGTGTAAATTGCGTATAAAAAGAGGAATGGAAAGAAGATGTTAATTGCACCCATTTGTAGATGAGTGCATGTACGGTTGAAGTGTACCGATCACCTGAATATTATTTGTGTGCAGCAAGAATGTATAAAATCAACACGAAAATAAAAGACCTGGCATTATTTGGGTTAACGGTATGAAGTATGAAGAAATAGGTGGCAACATAAATAGGCCGCGCACGAGACCGAATTCGGTCTTCGGTTCCATGCGTGCCCTATTCTTCTGCAAGCACATACGGATGCGTCGACAACTCTACCACGAGGTGTCAATCTTCTAATTAATATACTTTTAAAAATTGTATTTAAACATGCAACAGCGGCGGCATTCCAGCCGGAAGGAGGGAGGGGGCATGATGCCCATTTTCTTCGAGTACCTCGAAAGAGCCCCCTTTTAATTTCTAATAAGTGTCCCTTTCCCCTTCTCATCAATGCTCATATCACTCTGACAAGTATCCCTATTCTAATTTGATAGGTGATCCTTTTGCTTTGACGAAATACCCATTTTCTTTAGTAATAAATGCCACTTTTCAAGCGCAAAAAGTGCCCCTGTTACTAGGGCAGACAGGGGCGTCGCTAAAGGAGGAATGTCGGGAGTTTGTCTGTAAAATTGCGCTGTCGTCGGGAAAAATGAGAAAAGGAAAAAAAGAGAGGGAAAGGGAAAGAAAAAAAAAAGGAAAAGGAAAAGAAAGGAAAGAAAGGAAAGAAAGGAAAGAGAAAGGAAAGAAAGAGAAAAAAGAAAAAGAGGAAGGAAGGAAAGGAAGAAAAGGAAAAGGGAGAAAAGAAAGAAAAGGAGAACAGGAAAAAAAAAAAAAAAAAAAAAAAGAAAAAAGAAACGGGGGTGAAAGAGAGGAGAGAGAGGGGGTAAGAGCCTGTGAGAGGATGGGTTGGAGTAAGAGAGAGAGGGGGTTGTTGGGTGGAGTCGCCTCGTCGAGGGAGCAAGAAAGAAACGCATAAATATGTTGCTGTGTCTGGTCAGCTATGTCGGTATTCTTGCTCGATCATCGTGCACTATATCAATGCAGAAGTCGGTTAGACGTATTATGTCGGTCAGCCGGCAAATTTGGTTTCCCTACGAACTGTGACTTTTTATCAGACAAAGTAAAACTTTTTGAAATGATTTAGAGTCGGGAACGGTAAAAACGAATCGTCTTCTTTCTCTTATAATTTAATGAAACGTCAAAACTTTCGCGCTTCGCGCAGGAGGGGCGATAATGAATTCAAACAAGGATTACGAGTAATAATTTAATATAACGTCAAAGCTTTTGCGCTTCGCGCGGGAGGAGCAAAAATGAATTCAAACGAGGATTAAGAGTAATAATTATTTGATGAAATATCAATGCTTCCGCGTTTCGCGCGGGAGGGGGGGGGGACTGAATTCAGACAACGATTACTGAGAGTCGAGAACCGTATACAACGAATCGTCTTCTTTCTCTAATAATTTAATGAAATGTCAAAGCTTTCGCGCTTCGCGCAGGAGAGGCGATAATGAATTCAAACAAGGATTACGAGTAATAATTTAATAAAACGTCAAAGCTTCTGCGCTTTGCGCGGGAGGAGCGAAAATGAATTCAAACGAGGATTAAGAGTAATAATTATTTGATGAAACATCAATGCTTACGCGCTTGAATTCAGATAAGGATCAAGAGTAGAGAACGGTACATCGAATCGTCTTCTTTCTGTAATGATATAATGAAACGTTAAAGCTTCAACGCTTCGCGCGGGAGGGGCGAAAATGAATTCAGACAAGGATTAAGAGTAATAATTGAAAGAAACATCAAAGCTTCCGCGCTTCGCGTGGTAGGGGCAAAACAAGAATTAAGAGTCGAGAACGGTACAACGAATCGTCTTCATTTATAATAACTTGATGAAACGTCAAAGCTTTCGTGCTTCGCGCGAAAGGGGGGAACTGGGTACAGACAACCATCCTCTGGTATATTTCCAGTCCATTTGTTCCGGATAATGATACACATACATGTTTTGTACTGAACATAATGGCATTCAGACCCCTTGCTAGCTTTGAGAAATTCACGTCATCTACATGTCGTCGCGGACTTTACGAACCGGCGAATAGTCAAATTTCAATGAAATTTTCAATTTTGTAATTTTTACATATTTTGATAGTGCTTACAAGGATGTATCAAAATGCCAAATTTCAGGACATAAAAGTGAATATTACTGAAATTATCAATGTTTTTGTATATTGACCATGTCCTAAATTTACCAAAAGTGAAAAAAGGGGTTTTACGAACCGGCGAATAAAATATTCGTCGGTTCGTAAAAACCGATGGGATGCGCGGCGCTGTAGTGTACTATGCGTTATCAACTACACTTAACTAGAAAAACTCGCGGGTTTTACGAAGCGACGAAAATATAGTATTTCGTTACTGTATCGTCTGCAGAGCCTGAAACATTATTATTATTTTCTGTTATTTCATCGGAATTGCCTGGAATAAGTTCGTCATTGTAAAAAGGGTGAGCTTTAAATGATTATGTCACATTATTATAGTTTTGATTAACCTCACATTCCAAATTTCAACACTATTAAGACTTAAATATAATATTTTCTTCGCTGATTGAAACAATGTTTGTAGCATGGTCCCAAATGCCTTAATTTATGTTAGTAGGTGCAAGCAATCGGCGCTAATGCTGTTTCGCATCGACATCCGGCGAAAGATTAATTACTTAACTTAGGGTTAAGTTTAGATATATAACTTAGATCTAAGTTTATGGTTAGGGTAAGGGTAACCTTACGTTACATTAGGTAGCCTTATGTAATCTTAACTCTAACCCTAACTTAGATCTAGATCTAACTTGGATCTATTCTAAGTTTGAAGTTCAAGTCTGAGCCTGGCCTTGGGCCGCCGATTTTTCTAGAAATACAATTTTACATTGTTTTTTGTATGGATCTAACGTTAGACTAAGGTTAAAAGTGTTAAGTTAGTTAGATTCTAAGTAGATCTAGCGTTAGTCTAGATCTAATAGAATAAACAAATAGGGTCTATGTCAAGACTCAAGTCCTAGATCTAACTGTTACTCAAGTTCGATTTAGTTTAGCCTAAGTTAGACTCTAGAGTCTACTTGAGTTAAGTTTAAGCCAGGGCAAGGGACAGGAGATGGATGTAACGTTAACATTAACAGTTACTCATGTAGATCTAACGTTAGATCTATGTTAACTTAACATCTACCAAAGATCCTAGATCTACATCTATGACAAAATGGCATGGGTGAATTCAATTTAATTTGAAATATTTAAAAGAGGGCGATTGACTAACAAAAGTTAGGGTTTAAATCTAACTTAGAGCTAGATCATCTAGTGCAACCTAACATAGATTCCAGATGAACAATAATCTAACGTTAAATCTAAGTTAGATCTAAGTTAGCTTCGTTGGTCAAAGTACTGTGAATAGATTTAGATCTTATTAACTAACGTTAGATCTATATCTAATTTAGATCTGTTAGATCTAACTGTTAAGTTAGTTCCCGCTTAAAATTTAATATCATAGATAGATTTACAACAATAACATCGAGACATTTAAGTTAAATGTCGATGTTGTATCGACGTTGTATCTAATAAAAAGAATTGTATCTATTTGCTTGGAGATCTGATCTAATTTAAGTTAGACCCAGACTATAGATCTAGAAAGTTAAACCTCTAGGCTACGGGCTCTAGATCTATGAGACTCTGGTCTATTTATTTTTTTATTTCAAGTGATTTTTTTGTGACATAGATCTAGTCATAGATCTAACGTTAGATGTATGGTCAACTCTTGCCTTGGTAAAATGTCAGGTTTAACTGTTATGCTATGAATTTTTTTTCTTTCTGCTGTTCCCTTATTTTCAGAAATGGATGTGTTGGTAAAGTGGAAGAAAGATGGGAGCCAGAATATTGTCAGTGCTGAAGACCTGCATCTGGATGGGAAGCGCTCAATTAAGAAGGGTGCAACCGTTCAGATGAGGGGGAAGTATTCTTGGTGGAAAGGGAAGGTCATCTCCATATTTCAGAGAATTGGTAAGATTATTAGTATGAATAATTCTTTTGTATTAGACAAAATATGAAATTGATATGAAAATCAATTGCGAAAGGTAAGATGATTTAAAATACCATGAAAACAGATTTATTTTCCATAAACAATTTATATGAAAAAGAATTGACAGTGTGAGAGAACGAAGTATAGTAATTAGGATTAATGTCAAGTGATACTACGAATGGTGATGACCCAATATCTGATGACGATACATCATTTACCACAATGACTGGGAACAAATCATTTTTAGCTCCAATTTGATCATTGTTTATAAATAAGAAGGACAGCACATGTTAATAATAAAAAAAAAAGGATAGGAATTAGGCGAGGCGTCAAAAATATCGATACCAGCAGGCTGCCGCCTCACGTATTGGCGCATCGAGGCTGCAATTACGGCCGAAGCCTGGCTTGGGCAATTATTTTTCTTTTGTTAGCCCAGCCGGCTTGCGCCAGGCTGGGATCTGAGGCTCGGTTTCCATTCGAAAGGCGGCAGCCGGCGTATGCTTTTGAACGCCATTTCCTACCGCCAGCGGTAGCCGGCTGAGCTAATTTAAAAAATGCAGCCAGGACGCACAAGTGCAGTTAGCTGCCGCTGGCTGGTATATTTATTTTTGACGCCTCGCCTTAATGAAATATGTATGATATACATTATTAGGATTTTGATTTAATTTACATTATTTTACATTCACAGTGCCAGAACGAAATCAAGGTCCCATAGGTCCAAGTGACTCTACTGGAGTGCTTCCACAAGGTCCCAAGGACTCTGCAAATGACGGTGAGGACGAAGATGATCTTCCTCTGACAATGCTTGGTACGAAACATTCTTATCTTCAATTTGATTATTGTTTCAAGCCTCAAATAAGAAGGATAGCACAAATTAATCACAAAAAGAAAAGGAAAAAGAGAAATGTATAAAATGAAATATCTGAAAACTTAACATCTTTAGGACTTCGATTTACATTATTTTACATTCACAGAGCCAAAACAAAATCGAGGTCCCATAGGTTCAAGTGGTTCTACTGGAGTGCTCCCACAAGGTCCCGGGGACTCTGCAAATGACGATGAGGACGAAGATGATCTTCCTCTGACAATGCTTGGTAAGAAACTTTCTTATTTTCAATTTGATTATTGTTTCAAGTCTCAAGTAAGAAGGATAGCACAAATTAATCACAAAAAGAAAAGAAAAGATAAACGTATGAAATGAAAAATCTGAATGATAAACATCTATGGGACTTTGATTTACAATATTCTACATTCACAGTGCCAGAACGAAATCGAGGTCCCATAGGTCCAAGTGGTTCTACTGGAGTGCTCTCACAAGGTCCCAGGGACTCTGCAAATGATGGTGAGGACGAAGATGATCTTCCTCTGACAATGCTTGGTAAGAAATGTTCTTATTTTCAATTAAGAAGGATAGCACAGATGAATCACGAAAAAAAAAGGAAAGAAGAGAAACGTATGAATTGAAATATCTGAATGATTAACATCTATGGGACTTTGATTTACAATATTCTACATTCACAGTGCCAGAACGAAATCAAGGTCCCATAGGTCCAATAGGTTCAACTGGAGTGCTCTCACAATGTCCCAGGGACTCTGCAAATGACGATGAGGACAAAGATGATCTTTCTCTGACAATGCTTGGTAAGAAACGTTCTTATTTTCAATTTGGTTATTGTTTCAAGCCTCAAATAAGAAGGATAGCACAGAGGAAAATTTACCCCCCAAAAAGAGAGAAAATGTATGATATGAAATATCTGAAAGATTAACATCTTTAGGACTTTGATTTACATTATTTTACATTCACAGTGCAAAAACGAAATCAAGGTCCCATAGGTTCAAGTGATTCTACTGGAGTGCTCCAAAAAGGTCCCAGGGACTCTGCAAATGACGGTGAGGACGAAGATGATCTTTCTCTCACAATGCTTATTAAGAAACGTACTTATTTTCAATTTGATTATAGTTTCAAGCCTCAAATAAGAAGGATAGCATAGGAAGTATTCTTGGTGGAAAGGGACGGTCATCTCCATATTTCAGAGAATCGGTGAAATTATTAGTATGAATAATTCTTTTGTATTAGACAAAATATGAAATTAATATGAAAATCAGTTGCGAAAGGTAAGATGATTTAAAATACCATGAAAACAGATCTATTTTCCATAAACAATTTATATGAAAAAGAATTGACAGTGTGAGAGAATGAAGTATAGTAATTAGGATTAATGTCAAGTGATGCTACGAATGGTGATGACCCAATTTCTGATGACGATACATCATTTACCACAATGACTGGGAACAAATCATTTTTAGCTCCAATTTGATTATTGTTTATAAATAAGAAGTATAGCACATGTTAATAAAAATAAAAAAAGGAAAGGAATGTATTAAATGCAATATGTATGATATACATTACATTCACAGTGCCAGAACGAAATCAAGGTCCCATAGGTCCAAGTGATTCTACTGGAGTGCTCCCACAAGGTCCCAAGGACTCTGCAAATGACGGTGAGGACGAAGGTGATCTTTCTCTGACAATGCTTGGTAAGAAACGTTCTTATTTTCAATTTGATTATAGTTTCAAGCCTCAAATAAGGAAAGCATAGATGAATCGCAACAACAAAAAAAGAAAGAAGAGAAATGTATGAAATGAAATATCTGAATGATTAACATCTATGGGACTTTGCTTTACAATATTCTACATTCACAGTGCCAGAACGAAATCAAGGTCCCTTGTGTCCAATTGGTTCAAGTGGAGTGCTCTCACAAGGTCCCAGGGACTCTGCAAATGTTGTTGAGGACAAAGATGATCTTCCTCTGACAATGCTTGGTAAGAAACGTTCTTATTTTCAATTTGATTATAGTTTCAAGCCTCAAATAAGGAAAGCATAGATGAATCGCAACAACAAAAAAAAGAAAGAAGCGAAATGTATGAAATGAAATATCTGAATGATTAACATCTATGGGACTTTGCTTTACAATATTCTACATTCACAGGGCCAAAACAAAATTGAGGTCCCATAGGTCCAAGTGATTCTACTGGAGTGCTTCCACAAGGTCCCAAGGACTCTGCAAATGACGATGAGGACGAAGATGATCTTCCTATGACAATACTTGGTAAGAAACGTTCTTATTTTCAATTTGATTATTGTTTCAAGCCTCAAATAAGAAGGATAGCACAGATGAATCACACAAAAAAAGAAAAAGAAAAAAAAATCATTGAAATGAAATTAGTTATAGGTCCACAAATATGCTTTGAAACAGAATGCTATCACTGCAGTCACATAATAGGATTGTGTTCGATAGTGTGTGACAGCAGTGAAAGCATTTTCTCAGTCTTTCATCCTCTTACAAAAACTGGCAAAAACTTTCTTTTTTACCCGTCACATTCACTTGCAATGTACTCAGTTATGCGTGACATTTATGATGCAGGAAAAGTATCATTGCAAAGGTGAGAAGTTCCTCCTTAATTATGTTACATTTCAAAATTGCCAGAATAAATGAGCTTGGAATATGGCCCCTGAAAAATTGGACTATCTTTATTATGATACGCACTTTTATATATATATTACATATTGCAGAGATGTTAGAGAGCTTTTTACTCAGATTTGGACATGACAAATATGAGCTCTTGAAAAAATGTTTTACTCTTTTAATTTCACATGGCAAGTTATATAATGAGATTGATATGTTTGTGATTACAGAGTTATCACAAGATCTGATTGAACTTGAGACATTTATGTCTATACCAGACATGCCAGGTGATGATGACGCCAGCCAGGATGACGCCATGTCAGTTGATTCAGAATCAGACACAGGTAAATGGATATACTGGGGAAAACCATAAATGTGTGTCATGTATGAATAATCAATTATCATCAAACCTTACTATACAATCTGCATATAGTGTGTAAAGATTCAGGCAAGTACTTTTGATAATTAATAAGCACCAGATTGATTTTAATTTGTTAACAACTGAATATCATTGCTTTATTAGTGAAGTATTAATTTGCATTTTGATACTTTGTTCAATGGTTTTAATTTATTGCATTTCTATCTTTGCAAACACCTTTCATCTTGTTCACATTTTAAAAATCTTATATTTGTTTTAAAGATCTCCAAGTTATCGAGTCTTTGGGGGAAGTTGACAAGCATCCCGGTGACCAGTGTTGCGGCAGTCTGCATTGCAAAGGTAATGTGTTTGCAGCATGCATCAGGTGTCAGACTTTGATGTGTTTTGAACACTTTGACAAAGGTGAAGAGTGTAAATTTCATGCTCCATTTGAAAGGGAAAACCCCCCTGAAAGTTTTGTCATAGAGGAATCAGTTGGAAATGACATCAATCCTTTGTTGGATACATCCCAAAATGTACCAGTCAAGACTCCTAAGTCAAAAAATCGCCTTGTTAAAGATGCTAGGAACAAAGGTAAATCCTATTTCTCTGAAAAATCTGACAAGTTTGTGGGAGGGCGAAAATTTGTAGAGTACAACAAGTGTGACTTGTCACGAAATCACAAAAAGGTTTCATGTGGTATCTTCACTGAGGAAGACAGGCGTGAAATAAGGTATGACTATTATGGAATGGGCAACCTTTCTCTGCAGAGAGAATGGATTGCACGACATGTATCTCACAAGGCCCATTCACATGTGAAAAGTCGTAAGAAACAGACAATGAGGTATACTCTTCCTCGACCTTCTTCATTTTCTTATCCTGGAGAAATTGTCACTGTTTGTCGTAAGATGTTCCTGAACACTTTGGGAATTGCCGAAAGGCAAGTGCGAACTGTACTTGGAAAAACAAAATCTGGCACTGGTGTCCTGGGGAGGGAAAGAAGAGGTGGGACACAGAAACCTCAAATCCAAAAGCGACAAAAAATCATTGAACACCTACAGTGCTTCCCACGAGTGGAGTCTCATTACTGTCGCTCTTCCACAACATGCCAGTATCTTTCTGGGGAACTGACAAAACGAAGGATGTTCAATATGTTTGAAAATGAAAACCCAGGGTGTGCCTCTTACTCCCTGTACAAAGAGGTTATGAGAGAGCTCAAACTCAAATTTCATCGACCCAAAAAGGACAAGTGTGGGATTTGTGAGACTTTCCGCAAGTCTAATGAGGTTGAAAGAGACCAGATGAAAGTGAAATACAACATGCACAGACAAGAAATTTCAAAAGTAAGACAGATAAAGTCTGAGAGCAAAACTCGTGCCCAGCATGATGACAAGCATGCTGCTGCTGTGTTTGATCTGCAGCAAAACATGTACTTACCAAAATCAAATAGGGGTGAGTTGTTCTACAAGAGAAGATTAGCATGCTACAATTTTACTATTTACAATTTGGCTAATCATGCAGGAAGTTGTTACCTTTCAAATGAAACAGTAACAAGAAGGGGAGCTTGTGAGGTATCGACATACGTCCTTGACTACCTCAGCAATTGTGATAAGGAAGGAAAGACGTCAGTTGACTTCTTTTGTGATGGCTGTGTTGGCCAAAACAAAAGCTCAATTGTCCCATCGATGGTACATAGGTTTGTATCCGAGGCCAAAAGTGTGCAAGTGGTAACATTCTACTACTTTGAAACCAATCATGGCCAGAGCGAGGGTGATAGCATGCATTCCACTATTGAAAAATGTCTTGCTCGCTCTGAAGAAGTTTTCCATCCTTGCCAGCTCTCTTCTATAATCAAGGAGGCAAGAAAAAATCCATGCCCATACACAGTCAGACATGTTCAAACCAATGACATTTTGGACTGGAAGACATATGGCCATAATTTAGGTATCCTGAAGTGCAGACAGGCGGATACTGGTGAGGCAATTGATTGGACGACCTTCAAGCAGATTAGAATAAGCAAAGAATTTCCTACCTCAATTCTTTTCAAAATCACATAATACTAATGATTTCAGTATTCTTTCACTAGGCAGATCCCGCAGCCTGCGTTCTACCACTCCTGCAGTTCACATTGATCCTCCTTCCCAGCTCTACCAAAGCAGACCCAAACTATCTGCTGGGAAGTATAGCGATCTTGTCAGTCTATGCAGAGGCACATATCCTGTCATTTCCCAACCGGAACTAGTTGATTACTATATTAATCTACCTCATGAATAGATTACAGTCACTACCATGTCCACCTTTTAACTCTACTTTTTGTTTTTGTTTTTGCAGGACGAGGATCACTACCTGAGTTGGACAATCATCTACATGTATAGACTTTCGATGACTGCTGGTTTGTGTCATATGGTTTAAGGGAATGCTCTATAGATTTGTTTTGATTTGTTTTAAATTATTAATGCTTAGGCTGATGTCCAAACCAAAATTCCAATAGTATTGCAATGCAAGGCTGGAAGTCATTGGATATAACTGCTTGCATAAACTTGCACACTAATATTTTGCACCTTAGCCATGTTACTAGCACAGGGCTGGAATTCTTTTACACAGTTATGGGATCTAGAGTCAACTCAGTATCACTGCTTATATTAACTATCACTGCTTCTATTAACTATCACTGCTTCTATTAACTATCACTGCTTTTGTCATCTTGCACACTGATATTTTTGCACTTTGGCACAGGACTACAATTCGTTGACTTGGTTATGGAGTCACAAGCCAACTTTGAAGAATTGCTCTGCCGCAAAATATACGATATTTTGAAAATACCACTGCTTATATATTAACTTGCACACTAATGTTTTGCACTTTAATTAGCACAGGACTACAATTCGTTGACTCGGTTATGGAGTCAAAAACCAACTTTGATGAATTGCTCTGTAACAAAATATGCAATATTTTGAAAATAACACTGCTTATATATTAACTTGCACAATAATGTTTTGCACTTTAGCACAGGACTAGAATTTGTTGACTTGGTTAAGGAGTCACAAGCCAACTTTGAAGAATTGCTCTGTAACACTGATTATATATATTAACTTGCACACTAATGTTTTCCACTTTAATTAGCACAGGACTACAATTCGTTGACTCGGTTATGGAGTCAAAAGCCAACTTTTAAGAATTGCTCTGCAACAAAATATATAATTTTTTGAAAATAACACTGCTATATATTAACTTGCACACTAATGTTTTGCACTTTAGCACAGGACTAGAATTTGTTGACTCGGTTATGGAGTCACAAGCCAACTTTGAAGAATTGCTCTGTAGCAAAATATACAATATTTTGAAAATAACACTGCTTATATATTAACTTGCACACTAATGTTTTGCACTTTAGCACAGGACTACAATTCGTTGACTTGGTTATGGAGTCAAAAGCCAACTTTGAAGAATTGCTCTGTAACAAAATATACAATATTTTGATGAAAAAAAAAACACTGCTACCCTCCCTGGTCATAAGTATTGCAACATAGCTAAAATGCATGCATTTTTATTTTTATTTTACAAGCCTTTCTGTATATTGTTATATTTCATTCATAACCATAGTGTTGTCGACAATTTGTGTATATTTTGAAAGGGAAGACTTGTCCCATTTCATTCATGAGAGCAGTAAATGATCAGACCCGGTCATTTTTTAAACAAAGGGGAGGATAACAGAACAAAGGCAAACAAACAAAAAAAAATTGGGGGGAGGTGGGGATTATCAGTGAGCGAAATCATGAAACTGTTTCATATTTCTCCCAAAACTGTTTACAGGTTTCGTTTGTATTTTTCGCAAAGAAATAATGGCCATAAGGTACCAATACAAGGGCAGGGGAAAAGGGCAACACCCAGAGAAGAAAGATTTCTTTGTGCCGTTGCTAAGGAGGATGCGCGCCAAAATCAGAGGTTGTGATTATCCAACAAAATATAATAAATGTGTGAAAATTTACTTTCAATAAACTAGTACAATATATTCACCTCTAAAAACTGACTATAATTTAATATATCGGTGGAATAAAGTTGCATTAAAACGTCTTTGCAATACAGATCTAAATCCTCCTTGGCAACAGCACAAATAAATTTGTCTTTGGGTGTTGCCGTTTTCCTCTGCCCTTGTCTTGGCACCTTATGGCCATTATTTCTTTGCGACAAGTATAAACGAGACCTGTAAACAGTTTTGGGAGAAATATGAAACAGTTTCATGATTTCGTTCACTGATAATCCCCATCTCCCAAAATTTCATTTGTTTTGCCTTTGTTCATTTGTCTTCCAATTTGTTTCAGAAATGACCAGGTCTGGTCATCTACTTCTCTCAGGAATGAAAAGGGACTAGTTTTCCCTCTCAAAATATACAAAAATGGTCGACAACACTATGGTTGTGATGAATGGAATATAACAATATAAAGGCTTGTACAATAAAAGTTAAAAATGTGCGCATTTCAGCATAGTTGCAATACTTACGACCAGGGAGGGTATATATATATCCACTTGCACACTTTTGGTTACTATTGGTACAAAGTTAACAAAAAAATGACTAAAAATACTTGTAATATACCATAAGATGAACTTTTCAATTGTGCAAGAGCTGTAATAGTAGAAATGTTGCATTGAGAATAATAACTCCCTGAAACTAAAATGATTTGTTTGCACTTAAATTCAATCAAGAATCATCTATACCATTATGGCAAGTCATGAGCCTGTGTATAGGAGAAGATACAACTAACAGGTATAAAATTGGAAAAGATGTGATGTAAAAGAAGAAGGAACACCATCTATATATGTATATTATGTAAAATATTAATGCTAATAATAAAAAAGCAAACAATTCATGAAATGTTTCATGCATCATTTTAAAGCTCTTTTCCTCTTCTTTCTTTTGACACCTAATACAATATGAAAGAGCAACGCATAGACGAGCAAGAAGAATTTGAAATTTAAATGTAGAAATCAAACTGCGCAAATCAGAGCAAAGAGAACTGCATTGGATGTCTGCAGCAAGTGAACAACTCATAATATGATAAGATTGGCTGATAAATCAATACCTTCTCTTACTGTTATTGTGAACACCAGCTATGTACATTATGTATATTATACTTATGTAAATATGTATGGTAATGTTATATCATATAGGATAGACAATCATTTTCATTGCAAAATCTGTTTAGATTAAGTATTCTATCAAAAAATATGTAGAAAGAAGTATTTATTATTGAAATTTCAGTTTAACCAATTTGATCCAAGATTTTGTGCCTGCAGTTTTTACATATATTTGTGAAGATAAAATGGTACGATTGGCTGATAAATCAATATATTCTATTACTGCTATTTTGAACACCAGCTATGTATTTATATATTTATGGTAATGTTAGATCATATAGGATAGACAATTATTTTCATTGCAAAATCTGTTAAGATTCAGGATTCTTACACATAATATTTAGAAAGAAGTATTTATTATTAACATTTCAGTATAACCAATTTGATCCAAGATTTTGTGACTGCAGTTTTTACATATGTTTATGAAGATATTAAAATGATAAGATTGGCTGATAAATCAATACCTTCTCTTACTGCTATTGTGAACACCAGCTATTTATGTATATTATATTTATGTAAATATTTATGATAATGTTATATCATATAGGATAGACAATTATTTTCATTGCAAAATCTGTTAAGATTCAGTATTCTTACACATAATATGTAGAAAGAAGTATTTATTATTAACATTTCAGTATAACCAATCTGATCCAAGATTTTGTGACTGCAGTTAATTTTTACATATATTTATGAAGATAAAAGGACAAGATTGGCTGATAAATCAATACCTTCTCTTATTGCTATTGTGAACACCAGTTATGTATGTATATTTATGTAAATATTAATTTTTATATCATATAGGGTAGACAATTATTTTCATTGCAGACTGTGTTAATTTTCATATCTATGCATGTAGCAATCTTACGTACAACTTGCTTTGCAATGATGTGTAACTGTCAAATATATCAGTTGTTTTAAGATTAGGTAATCCGATTTGTATTTATAATCTGCTAAATTATCTAAAGTGCATGGCAACTATGTAAGGCGAGGCGTCAAAAATATCGATACCAGCTGGCTACCGCCTCACGCATTGGCGGATCGAGGCTGCAATTCCGCCCGAAGCCTGGCTGGGGCAATTAATTTTCACTGATTAGCCCAGCCGGCTTGCGCCAGGCTGGGATCTGAGTTTTACCACGGAATCTTTAATCGGCCCATCCACCCCCCGCCTGGCGGCACGTCTATAATTGGCCCAGCCGGCCCCCGCCAAAAATAGGTTGTTAAAGTTGCAACTTTAAAGTTTCCAGTTGGCGGCCGCCGTACGGAGATGCTTAAAGTTTTAGTGGCGGCAGCCAGGCGGAGATGCTTGTAATCCAGAATCTGCACGGTCCTTTATAATTTCCCCCACACTTGATCCAAGCCGTCGAAGATGGCGTTATCAACAGACTCATAATTATGCTCACCAGCCTAGCCTGAGTTTCGCTGGGCGTCTTTATTTAATGATCACGCCATCATCGGCTGGTAGCAAGTAAGTAGGGAGAGGTAGCGTTGGTGCGGTGGAGATCAAAATTAAATAGGCCAGATTCTGGACTAAGATGCTTGAAGTTGCAACTTGTTGAAACGTGTAACTGAGCTTTCCCTAAAAAATGGCGCTCATTTTCCGATTGTGACGTCATTTCAAGCTATGTTTACATTTCTATTCACGCCGGCCTTTGCGTACAAAAAGGGATGGACGTGAAGCAACGAGGGGAAGGATACCGTGATAGACGTTGACAAAAACTTAGCAACACCCAACAAATCTTGAATACATAATGTTTCAGGCAAACGTGGCTGCCGTGATGCCGGGAACATAGTTTAGACGTAGCTTTGAGGGCGACTGTTATCGCGCCTGTTCACAGCGAAACGCACCTGTTTTTAAAATTGCTTGGATTAGCAAGTGTGCGCTTGTAAAAATGGCGCTTGGCTGAAATGCTCCCCAGGGAGTATGTGTGCGGCAAAGCCTGAATCCGATGACCGGGGTAATAATATATATAATTGTGAAGCGCTTCGAGAAGGCCTTCGGTCCTGAAAAGCGCTATTATAATAATATAAGAACTAGCTATTATCATAATTATTATTTACAATTTAAGTGTATAATTTCAAATATTTCATGTCATTTTATGTCTTTATATCCACTATCTTACACCATTTAAACTTGGTGTCCACTCAGGGGCGTCTCCAAAGGGAGGGGGGATGGGGGTGCGACCCCCCCCCCCCCCCCCCACCTGTCAGGATATTGTCGGTAAATTCGCTGCCGTCGGGAAAAAAGAGAAAAGGGGGAGGGAAAAAGGGAGAGGGAAAGGAAAAGAAAAGAAAAAAGAAAAAGAAAAGAAAAAAAGGAAAAGAAAGGAAAGAGAAGAAAGAAAGAGAAAAAAAAGAAAAAGAAAGAAAAAAGAATAAAAAAGAGAAAAGGGAAACAAAAGAAACGGGGGAGGAAAGAGAGGAGAGAGAGGGGAGATTAGGGTCTGAAAGAGGAGGAGTGGGAGTAAAAGAGAGAGGGGGTTGTTGGGTGGAGTCGTCTCGTCTAGGAAGCAAGAAAGACACGGGTAACATGTATTGCTGTGTTGGGTCAGCTGTGTCGGTATTCTTGCTCGATCCTCGTGTACTATATCAATGCAGAAGTTTGAAGTCGGTGAGATGTATATTGTCGGTCGGCCGACAAGTTTTTTTCCCTACGAACTGTGACTTTTTATCCGCTGTGACGACTTCTAGAGTGACTACAACTAGAATACTTGTAATTTCCCGAACTTTCACTTTCCTATAATATCAGCTAAAGAAATCAGAGGTTTAACATTTTTGTG